GATCCAATAGAACAGACTGTAATTTTAGTAAATCTGACATAAGGTAGCAGTGACATTTCTGAAGTGGGGATAATGTGTTGCTGTGCAGATATTTAAAAACTCACCATTTATCACAGTTACATGTGCATTAACAGCAGGTAGGCTGAAGGTAAAATGTAACTGATTCTAGCAGATTTGTTACGTTTCAGTGAATTAACAAGGATTCAGTGCCTGGGCGCAAAGAGAGGTAGTCTGGCACAACAAACACACACACAAGCACACTCTCATCTCAAGATTCTTTTCACAGGGAACAAGCTGAAGAGTTGGCTTTGGTTTGTCAGCGCTAGTCGAGTACTCATCCTACTCACATACTGACCTGCTAATTCAATCAGTTGGCAATCACTATCAAAAAAGGCCATCCACAGGAGGACTCTGGGAATGCTTGCAATGACAAAGAGTACGAAACAAGAACACAAGGGTCTGCACAAACTACGTTAAGACATTTACTAAGTCACCCTTTTAAGTGCAGAAACACATTATTCATTTACAGGGTCAGAGAGCCAATTAAAAAAATAATTTAAATGCAAACTTTACATTTACACTGCAGTGTTGTGTACCTTATCTGAATTGACTGTGCATTTCATCCCATTCAGACTCAGTCAGAGAATGTATTCAAATATCCAGGTAACATACAAACCAGCGAGCGTTTCACGTAAAAAAATAAATGTCTGAGCCGCAGCTCCACCTTTAGCTCGACTCAACTTTCTCCTTAAGACGAACCAATGGGAGTGTCCGTGTATGGTAAAAGGAAAAAGAATTTTGGATATGCTTATGTTCAGCATCTATCAAATAGTCTTTTCTCTTTCAAGTATAGTACATCATTGTGGTTTCTCTCTCCTTACTGCTGCATTCCCTCACTGGGTCATGGACTCAGTAGGCTAATGTGCTCTTTCTAACTCGTCTGCAAACTTCGGGCCAGCACAACCCACTGGAGGAGGAGAGGGAGGAAGCAGAGGGCATGGTGGTAGCCTGATGGGGTGGGATGTTGGGCTTAGAACAGAGCAATGTTAGCCAGGTTAGCCATAGCAGCAACAGCTGGAGTCCTCCGAATGCGTTGTTGGAACGACGTGGCAGGCTACTTCTTCCTGTTGTGTTGTCGCCTCGCCTGCAGCCTCTGCCGTGCTCCGGATGTTTTCGATCCAGCTCCGATTGAGAAGGAAGGAGTTGCTGGAGATCCTAAACAAAATTAAAAATATGGATATGTAACAATTTCTGCTACAAAGTATACAGTTCTTAACAGTGGCATGAAATTTTCAAACTTCAAAACTGCCTCTTAATTTCATCTAAATTAGTATCAATATCAGGTCTGACAAGGAATTCTTATAGTGAGGCAACATGCTTTTAAGTATTTGGCTCCAATAAAAATTCCCATAAACTTGCCTCAAGCCCACCTTTAATAACAGAACCCACATGTTTCCACTTCGGCCTCACAGCAGTAGATAAACAGGCTAAATCCCACTACATTACAATGCACAATGCTACAGTGTAGCATCCTATTACCAACAGAAGAGGTATAGAATAATTTAACAAATTTATCAATAAAACTTTGTGATGGTGCTGCACTCTCACTAAATAAAATCAGAAGACTAATTTGTTTAAATCACTGGGTTACAGCTCCTTGAGAGCAACCATCGTTTAAACATCTAGCCACACATCCCTACTAAAGCCCCAGCTGGGCATCACCTCTTTTAAAAAATTAAAAAATTAAAAAAAAGAGAGAGAAAAAGAAAATTGATGCCTCACCAAACTGAACAGCATTGAAGCCTTGGAGTGCAGTTCCAGGACTTCCAAAGGGAATTGGACCTCCAGCAGCACTCTGGCCAAAAGATGGTGTTGACGTTCCTGCAGGGAAAACAGCATGCAACTTCAAACACCCAACACCTAAAACTCTGATAGACCAACATAGTAACCTAACCACAGAAATCTTTCTGTCAGTGTGTGGCACAGTAGGAAACCAGCACTCACACATAAGTGCAACCATACAGCGATGTAAACAAACAAAAATGCAGCCCACCCTCCCCACTACTGAGACCCGTTAATTCAACTACTGGTTATGTTTCACATACCAATCATTTCAATTAATTTACTATCATTTACTGGTAATCAAAACTAAAATTATTTTAAGATATTCGCAACAGACAAAATTAGTGTAGTGGTTAACATCTTTGCCTAACACGAGAAAGATCCCTGGCTTGAGACCAGGAGGAGACACAAAAAGGTCACCCGGAGTAAAATCTGTGCCAAATCAAATGTCTGGTGTGATAAAAACCCTTTCAAGCAAGGGAACAGCCAAAAGAAATAGCTAGCCAACATTACATTCATTGCTTGAACCGCTCTACAGGTGGGCTTAAGACATAAACAAGCAAAACAACAACAGTCTTAATTCCTTACCAAAAGCTGGTTTGTCTGTAGCAGCAGCCCCAAAGTTGAAGCTTCCCATCTGTGGTGCAGGATTATTGGAAACTGGTGTTCCAAACTGAGGGCACGGCATTCCAGAGCCAAAGTTAAATCCACCGGATGCTGGCTGAGCTGGTCCAGAGGGAGCCGGCTGAGGAGCTGCACTGCCAAATCCGAAGGTGGGTGTGGAGGAGCTCTGAGCCTGGGTTGCTGCACCGAAACTTGGTGGAGCTGAGGGTGCAGCTGAGGGAGCGGCAGTGCCACCGAAAGCAAAACCAGCAGTGCTGGCTCCAAATGCTGGTTTAGCTGGGGTACCAAAAGTGGCTGCTGTGGTGGCAGGAGTTGCCCCAAAGTTGAAAGGAGCTGGGGCAGGGTTAGAAGCAGGTGTGGATGACGCTCCGCTGCCTCCAAAAGTGAATGGCTTTGGCGCTGCTGCTGTGGAGCCAAAGGTTGTCTGAGCTGCTGGGGCTTCAAAAGATGACTTTCCAAAGTTGCAGGTTGACTGTGTGGTAGCAGGAGCAGCAGTGGAAACTGTGTTGCCCATGGCAAAGCCTCCAAATGAAGCAGTGGTTGTGTTCTGATTGGGTGCTGTCT